AAAAAGCTAGAAATAGAAGTACCATATGATCCAGCTATCCCGCTCCTTGGAATATAGCCTAGAGAAATAAAAGCCGTCGCACGAATAGATATATGCGCTCCCATGTTCACTGCAGCACTGTTCACAACAGGAAAAAGATGTAAACAACCTACGTGCCCATCAACAGACAAATAGATAAACAAATCATGGTATATCCACCCAATGGAATACTACGCAACAATAAAGAACAATGATGAAGCCGTGAAACATCTTATAACATGGAGGAAGCTGGAGGTCATTATGCTGAGTGAATTTAGTCAGTCACATAAAAAGCTGCTATTATTTTAGGTACCATTAATTTAACTATGGTAGAAACTAGAGAGAGACAGATTTCTCCCCAGCAGAAGGAATAACTTCCTAACAGGCAGGTCAAAACTAGACAAATAAAACCCCAAACCACTGCCATCAAGTCGGACTCACAGCAACCCTGTAGGACAGAGTAGAACTACCCCATAGGGTTTCCAAGGCCGTAAATCTTTATAGAAGCAGACTGCCACATCTTTCTCTCTTTGAGCGGCTGGTTGGTTCGAACAGTTGACCTTTTGGTTATTAGCCCAGTGCTTAACCACTGCACCACCAGGGTTCCTTCCTTCATCTTCCAAATTTCTTACAATGATCAAGAACTACATTTGTAATCAGAAAAACTTAAAAATCTGCTATTATCTTAGGTGCCATTAGTATAAATATGGTAGAAACTAGAGAGACACAGATTTCTCTCCAACAGAAGGAATAACTTCCTAACTAGACAAAGGCTTAATGTGATATTGGACAGAGAATTCTAGCACAAAATGGGTAGATGAACTAGCTGACCCTCAGCACCCCTCTCAGCCTTAATTTTGGGGATTTTTATAAATGGAAAGTGTTCCATCAGAATTGTCTTCAAAATAAAATTTTCAAACTGTTGAAATCCTAGTAAAGTCTGTAGTTTAGTTAATAGTATTTTACCAATGCCAATTTCTTAGTTTTGACAAATGTACCATGGTCACGTGAGATGTTAGCATTAGAGGAAACTGACTAAGAGGTATAGGGAACTGTGTACTATTTTTGCAACTTTTCTGTAAATCTGAAATTACCCAAAAATAAAATGTTTATTTTTAAAAAAGTCAAATTTTCGAACTTCATGCCACATAAGAGTTTTTCTCAGACTAAAGGTCACAGAGTGTCTCAAGGATTCATGAGCTGGAGCCTTCAGGCTCCAAGTATCAGAATAATAATCTACATTTGTGATTTACAGTTGGTAACACATACATTATTTTACTTCCACCCCAAGAATGTGATGTAGGCAGGGCTGGTATTATCATTATATACAGGCCAGAAAACTGAGGCAGCTCAGCAAGCTGAATTAACCAGCCCACAGTCACTCAGTGGTTAGCTCAGCCAGGTTTCAAACCTTTCTCCTAATTCCAAGGGTCTTTCCACCATACACTACCAACTATCTCTCCAACTTCTGGAACCAACTCTGCTCCACCCCCAGCTAAACATTTTATTAATGTGTCCACTGGGTTTAGTTCTCTGACTTTTAATACAGACTGAAAAGGGTGTTCACTGTTTTCAAGAGTGGCGCAGACCTGAATGTCCATTGCTAGGGGAGTCATTAAATAAATTACAAGCCATCCATTCTAGAAACACTACACAACTGTTAAGAATGTGGTGGATATGCGATTACTGCAAAAGGATATCTGGTTAGATGAAAAAAGTAAATTGCCAGATGGTAGGGTGTAAAGATTACAGCCTAGAAAGCCCTATGGGGCAGATCTACTCTGTCACATGGAGTTGCTATGAGCTGAAAATTGATTCGATGGTACCCAACAACAAATGTGTAATATGATCTCATCCTTGCAAAAAATTTAATTAAAAATCAAACTATAAACATGCATATATATGTCTGTATGTGCACAGGGAAAGGTCTGGAAGGCTATTATTCCCTGAGGGGCATTGTTCCATTATCTCCTGTTCCTTCGTCTCCCCCTATCTCTGACTTAGAAAGACTGTAGAAACCTTTTTTTGAATTTTAGGGGGGAGGCCAGGGCGGTGGACCACAAGATTTAAGACCCCACCCAAATCCTAACCAATAGCAGATGAACTTCAAGATCTCTTTTACTCATTCACCCTTTTTTTCTTGTTAACCCAGTTACCAGTTGGCTCCTTTGTGGCCCTCATTCCTGGGTTAAGCTCAATCTCTTATCACTGAGGCATCAGATCCTTTGCCTCCTGAGTTAGCCAACCTACTTATTTGTTCTAGACCTGCCCAACAAAGGGCAGCTCCCCCCATTCTCCTTTCTATGGGAACCTGCCCTGGAATTCTGCCCCCTTTCTCCTTCCTTCTTTTTCATGTATACAGGCCAGTGGGGTGGAGCGAGACGTTGGGAGCAGTGTACCATGACAGAAAGAAAACAAGCTTTGGAGTAAATCAGAGCTGGCACAAAATCCTGCCTCTGCCATTATTAACTGCATGACCTTGGGAAGATTTCTTAACCTCTCTGAAAATGTCTTAGCTTGTTGCTGCCATTGTAAAATGGGAACAAAACCTGCTTCACAGGGCTGTGGTGAGCATTAAGTGAGATGAAAAATGCGAAGCGTCTCACACAGGAGGACAACCTAGGAGGTAGCTAGTGTGGTTAGGCAGCTTTACCTGGTATGGTGAGCAGAGCCCACAATGCAAGACTCCACTCTGCCTACTTCCAGCCGGGCTGGACGTAACCTCTAGACACAGGAAGTACAGTGCCTAGAGCCCACAGTACTTTCAGGAGTCTGTAAACATTTTTAATTTGTTTTAAAACCAGAAGGAAACAAACTTTTAGACCAAGAAAATATTAATATTGTTATATTATGTTGTTAGTTGCCATCGAGTCAATTCCAATTCATGGTGATCCTCTGTGTGCAGAGCAGAACTGTTCCATAGGATTTTCAATGGCTGTGTGACCTTCAGGAAGCAGATCACCAGGCCTGTCTTCCCAGGGGACTCTGCATAGGTTTGAACCACCAACCTTTCGGCTAGTAATTGAATGTTTAACCACTTACACCACTCAGGGACTCCTTAATATTACTATAGTCTTCCTTATATTTATGCAGTCAAAAAATATAAATTTTTATTTCTTTTTACAGAGAAAGGAGCCCACAAAGGCAAGAGTGGCCCACAAAAGTCATAATGCTGCCTGGATTTTCAATACTCCTAAAACATATCTCCTTTAGGAAATCTTTATGGATTGGCTGGGGGAAAGGAATGCATAGGTGGGGAGGTAGGGGAAGGGAAGTACAAGGCAGAGGTGGAAGTGAAGAGCTGACCCTCAGTGATCGCACCTCTCAGAGTACAAGCCCTGGCGGTCTGTGATTTCTATTTTTTTTTTTTTTCCATTCCTATCTCTCAACTTACACCTGCCTTGAACCCAATGGGTAGGGAACAATACGTTATGTCCTGAAATACCCCTTCAGTCTTTGGGTCAAGAATGTAAATAATTCCCTTTTGCCCAAGTCCTAATTCCTCTGTCAAAGCACCAACTCTTTTCCAGATGGGCAGGCTTGTTCTGAAGGTCCCCCATCCCCTCCTCCAGAACACTCCCCAGGGTAAGTCCAGCCTCTGTTCCTTCACAAATGGTGCTACCTTTATCAGGAATACCCACCGCACCCCTCTCTGCCTGTCCAAACCTCATCTATCCTTCAAGGGTAGGGCTCAATCCCCTTCCCTGTTCATGAAGCCTTTGCTGACTAATCTAGACTTCCCCCATTTCTCTTTTTTCTTATCTCTGCTCACCAGACAAATAGCCTGAATTGTGCGTGGTACCAGTCACGAAGGACACTATCTTAGACTTCACTTAGGTTGTCACCTCACCTGTTTCCACATCTATAAAGCAGGGAATGTCTGTCCTAAAGACAAACAAGAACAAAGGTGTACAAACCAACCACGGTTTTGCTTCTCCTTCCCCCCATCTATCACAAATCAATACACCAGCCTGGTATAAAATTAAGGGTGAGCATCCACTCTCAGTGCGATGGAAGGATCCCCGCCTGAGCATACTTCCAGGGAACAATGGGTTTTTGATGATGGATCTGTATCATTAGAGGAGTGGAATTAGAAAGTAGGCAGAATCCTTCTCCAAGGAAAGGTGGATTTTCTAATAAGCACTCAATAACAATATAACTAATGGAATTGGGTGCTTACTGGATAGTAGAGTATCCACTGAGCTAAGTGTTTTGACACTGAACTGGGTTATCTCTTTTAATCCTCACAATAGCATCATAAGATAGGTACTATTTTCCCCATTTTACAAATGAGGACAAGGGAGCTTAGAGGTTAGATAGCTCATTCAAGCTCATTAAGTGGTAGTGCCAGGAATTGGCCCAGGTCCTAGAAACTTCAGCTTCAAACTGTACAAAGGGCACACCTGAGTTGCCTCCAGTTTTCTCCCAGGACCTTTTCTAGAGTGAGACAGGCAGAGGGAAGTGGGAAGGTCATCCCGTCAGGGTGAGGCCTCAGGGAATCTCAGGACTGGAGTCGGAGTGAATGTGGAACCAGTCTTTTCCATTCCAACTAGGAAAGCCCTTTACCTACCTCCTGGGGAAGGCGTGGTTGGGAGGCTAGTCATTGCAGCCAGTGGATGAGGACCCTGACAGAAAAGCAGATCTGTAAGAAGAGGGACAAAGACAGGAATGAGGTGAGTGGGACTCTGGGGCTGGAGAGGCCTGGAAATCCTAGATTTCTTCAGTGCCAGGTTTTCCCGAGTCCCTTCCCCATTTCCTCCCCTTCCATCCCCCCACTCCCCCCCAGCTCAGATCCAGGGAATTGGGGAAAGAGAGGAAGTTAATCCCGAACCAGTCTCTTTTGGTTTCTCTGAGTATCTCCTCAGGCCCCAGGTACCGAGATTACTCCACAAAGCAGATCTGAGACCGCCTGTATTTGGGTTACGATATCTTTCAACGTCCTACCCCGAGATCCTTTCACTGGGCCACCACATTTACCTAAGAGATCTCCCACAGCCTGAGAAAGTTAGACAAAGATATGCAAATCAGCAGCGGGCTCAGTTTCACCAAACTGCGGTAACAGGTACCCAGGCTTCCGCTGCCCGGAGTTTCAGGCGAAGCCATCCACTAGGTGTCAGGAGAGGGCCAGGGAAGGTCAGGACCCGTGCCGGGTTCGGGCGCGGGAGTAGAAGCAGGTACGAGGCCTGGGAGAGGGGAGCCAGGCAAAGGAGACTGGAGGTGAAGGTCCTCAGTCGCCTTTTGGCCTGTCTCAGGCACCCCGTTCTCTCGGCTCGGCCCATGCCCTAGTGCCACCTTCATTGTCCTCTGCGCCGTCCGCGCACAGCCAGCACGAGCCCCACTAGTTGGCTACAAGTGGCCAAACTCCACTTGGCTCCCACCCTGTGCCTCGGGCGCCCTGAGGACCCTCGACGCCTCTGCGGACGCCGGGAATCGCGCCCTGCGGACAGGGAGGGCTTGCTCTGTGGCCCCTCGGCTCCGCCCCTCACCCCTGCCTGGAGCCCTGGGGCGTTACCAGCACAAGGCAGGCTCGCTGCGCTCAGAGGGTAGCCGGGCGCGCGCTGGAGGCTCTGAGCAGCTGCGGGAGGAGGCTCCGGCCGAGGGCCCAGCTCCGGCAGTTCTCGGTTTCGGTTCCTTCAGTGGCCGCGGTGACTGCGAGTGTGAGTGCGAGCGGCCGGGCTCGCCTGGCCCTCCCGCCCTCGCCAGGTCCCCTCCTCCGCGTGCTCACCTTTCCAGTTGGACAGGCTGCGGGAGAGAAGGGCCCGGCGCCACTCCACGCTTGCTTTTGGACTGGGCGGGGGCGGGATCCGCAGAAATTCGCGGAGGCAAACCGACAGAGCCGGACCGAGGGACCCAGCTGGAGGAAGACGCAGAGAGACGCTCAGAGTTAACTAACGAGGCCGGCCGGGGGTGGGGGTGGGGGGGACAGACTGACTGGGTGGGACAGGAAAAGAGGAGAGAAACCGCCCTCTGCAGGTTCCCTCTGCCCGCCGGGCCGCCTCTGCTCCCCCGGGAGGAAAGGCTGCCTTTCCTTCGTCGATTGTCGCTTTACTCTCCATCCGGAGCCGCTTCCTCCCTCGCCCCAGGCTCCAGAGGGGATGGGATCTGAGCCTTGGGCTAGCTAGCTGACATCCGTCCCATTTTTCTGGGGTTGACGTTATTTGAGTTTTCAGCAAAGTGGAAAGTTACATTTACTTGTGTTTGTATGTCATTTACGTAAACAGGTCTGTGTCCAGAAGCTTGGAACAGAAGCTAACTTAGCAGGCACACCCCGGGCCGTGAAGCGGAGAGGTGAGGTAGGGAGAGGAACTTTGCCTCACCCGGATCTTCTTTGTCCGACATTCTTCTGAGGCTGTGTACAGCCTAGAGGTTAAGAAAATCCTGGACTTTAGATTCAAACAGTCCCAGCCCCGATGCCTTGTTAGCTGTGTGACTTGGGGCAAATTACTTAACATCTACGCATAACCTTGTTGAAGACTGAAAGTGATAATCCCTGGAAAGTCATTTCACAGCCATCACCCTAGTACATGGTAGGCACCTCAATCTGACTATTAATCAGTGCCATAACTTAGCAACCTCTTGACTTACTTCTTTGTGGTAGGAAATATTCCCAAGTTAATCAGAGGAACTCAGTGACTAAAGAGGATGTAATAATGCTGTATAACACAGGTTCTGGAATCCACTCTGCTGTGTGACCTTGGGCAAGTTACTTCTGTTTTAGTTCCCTTATCTGGGGCAATACCTGTCTCATAGGGTAACTGTTACTGTGGAGATGGAATGAGTTAATACATCTAAAGCGTGAGAACCTTACTCAGCACAAAGTAAGTGCTCAGTAAATGCTAGCTATTGTAACCCTGACTTCCCAGTTAGGTTTGGTGCTCTTGTGCTTATTCTGCCTTGCATCCCAGTGATAAGACTTCTGTGCTTCTTATTCCCGTGAGCACATTGTCTAGGTCTGGGAATCAATACTTACATATTGATAGATAGAAAGTTAGGTATCATCAGACTGTGTATATTCACCTGGGGAATAAAAGACTAAGAGAAAGTCTCAGAGTGAGAGAGGCATAAAAACAAAGCCATAAACAAACGAAGCAAGAGTACTATTCATTCCTAAATACGTTATTTAGTTGGTAAGAACCAGAGGGAGGGAAAAACAAAAACAAATACAATAGAGAAAAAGCACACAAAATTAATTTTATTTAATTATATTTTTTAAAGGCATATAGCAGTCTCAGTGAGGAATAGCCCATGTGTGGGAAACTGCCAACCCAACCAAGAAATGTAAAGAAAGTGACATGTAGGTGAGATGTATATAAGTTAATAAAAGAAAGGTCAGCCTGGCCAGTTCTCAGATAAGAGAATATCTAAGGGAAAAATAAATTCCAATCCTAGAAGCTAAATTCTAAGAGTAGATAATTGCTTGCATTTACTTACTCCGTAGCTAACTGGGCCATGAATTCCAGGAAAGGTTGACATCTTTCCTGTATCTGGGTCTATTTCTCTTATAACATTTTCCATTATGGTTAAATATTGTTAGAACCACATACTCAGAGGAGGGCGTCTGGCCCAACTGACTCTGAGTTATGTGTTACTTTTGTAATCTGAAAGTTGTTAATAATCCCTTATAAGCATCTTTTTTCTCTTTAAAAGATAGTCTTAAAAGGTTTGCTGACGTGATTTTTTTCCTGTAGGCATACACCTCATTTTAAAAGTGTAAGGATGCAGAAAAATAGGATCCAATATGCATATTTCTGCTCAGCTCTCAATTTAGCATAAATGAGGAATATTGAAAGCAATGTGTGTATTAATGCTCTTTGGTGTGTCCCATTTACCCTGGGTTATGTTTCTAATGTTTTCTGGATGTCTCACCCAGTCTGTCAATACTGTCCTTCAAATTACTGGAATGCAGTGACTGGATGATGTTCTTGCAATTAATTCTACATAGAGATGACTGCAGCTAGATAATGAATGTAGCCTCATGGGGTGGGGAGCTTCCAGTGTTTTCCAAGGATTAAATACTAAACCTCTGAAACTGGAGCATCCTTTTGTCAACAGACCTCCAGGGACCTCAGGGCAGGGGACAAAAGATACTCATCTCCACCCAATTTTATTGGCTTTCAGCCCCATTTTGTGTTGCTGCCAGGATGGCAGTCTTCTAAGCCCTAGACTTTTCTCTAGACAATTTTACCATTTTGTAAATCAGGGTAAACAATCTGATTCCCAGATAAGACTGTCCACCCTAGATAATAAAGTTGTTACTTGTGCCCAGCATACAGGACTTTTCCCCTGCCTCCTTGGAGCCTCTAGTACGGTCATAGGCAAGCGGTGGAGTGCCAGTGTCACAATTTAGTGAATTTTACCACTTCAGTTGTGCCTCTGTTGTAGCAGTTACCTTATGTGCTTGTCTTCCCCATCAGACTGTAAGTCCCTAGAAGTCCTCTCTGGCACACTCCCCAAAGAGGATCAGTTTCCTGGGGGAGGTGAGGTTCAGGGAAAGCCCAACAGAGAAAAGGTTTGAAGTGGATTTTGCCAGATGAATGTCGGAGGGGCATTCTAAGCAGATCATGGAGGGCCTTGGAGAGCCAAGGGCCTGGGTTCCCAGCCTTTTTCCCCACCCTTCCAATACACTTAGGAAGGAGCCCTGGTGGCACAGTGGTTAAAAGCTTAGCTGCTAACCAAAAGGTTGGCAGTTCAAACCGACCAGCTGCTCTGTGGGAGAAAGATGTAGCAGTCTGCTTCCATAAAGATTATAGCCTTGGAAACCCTATGGGACAATTCTACTCTGTGTCCTACAGGGTCACTATGAGTAGGAATTGATTCCATGGTGACGGGTTTTGTTTTTGGTTTAATACCCTTGGGAATCACTCCCAGCAGTGATTCTGAATGTAAGGAGTGGAATACTTTCTAGGAGAGGTATTAAAATACGGCAGTTGGGGTTTTATACTTTGAAAAACAACCCTTCTCCCTAAGAAAGGCATGCAGCCTTCTCCCCATTACTGCTGTACACAGTAGATGTCCTTTGAAGAGTTTTAAAGACTAACAGAATTAGATTTTAGAAAATGACTCCCAAATACAGACATGTATTTCCAGCTCCCTAATGAACACAGCCTTTTTTCCCCATCCTTCCAATACCCTTGGGAAAGGAGCCCTGGTGGCGCAGTGGTTAAATGCTTTGCTGCTAACCGAAAGGGTGGTGGTTTGAACCTACCAGCCGCTCCTTGGGAGAAAGATGCGACAGTCTGCTCCTGTGAAGATTACAGCCTTGGAAACCCTATGGAGCAATTCTGTTAGTCCTATAGGGTTGCTATGAGTTGGAATTGACTTGAGGGCAATGGGTTTTGTTTGTTAGTGAACACATCTACTGGGAAGTCCTACAAATACTTCACACTCATGTCCCATGCTTGTAGATATCACCTATGGTTTGTTTTTATAGCTTGAAAATCAGGGCATGAATGATGCACAATAAACTGCACATATTTAAAGTGTACAATTTGATAAGTTTTGACACATGTATATATCCATTAAACTATTACCACCATCAAATAATGAAAATTTTCTATCATACCCTAAAGTCTCCTTGTGCCCCTTTGTGATCCCCTTTCCTCACCCCCCTCCCTCCAACCACTGGTCTGCTTCCTGTTATAGACATCAACATGTCTTTCCCCCTCTCTGGTAATAACACCAATCACAGCTCCCCATTTCCCCGGCCACAGGATGGGCACATCACCAAAGCTGGCCCAATCAGATTCTTTCTTCAGGGAATTTGGATCTGGAGAGGACACAATGAAGGTGCTGAAGCTGTCTTCCAATAGGAGTGCCTGGAGGGACAGTGCCTGCATTCCTGCTACAGACAACGCTGGGCTGGTTCTCATCCTTCCTGTGGCCTGGTTTTTCTTTCAGTTCCTTGAGCTGTGTAATCTCTTCCAACAAATCCCTTTTATTGCTTAATTATGTCAGTTGGCTGCCTGCAACCAGAGAATCCTAACTGATAACAAAGCAATTCCTTCTGCAGTCATCATTTCAGGGAATAGCACCACCAAATTCTAGTCTTTAAGACTGACCTGGAGCCCTGGTGGCACAATAGTTAAGAGCTCAGATGCTAATCAAAAAGGCAGCAGTTTGAATCCACCAGGTGCTCCTTGGAAACCCTATCGGGCAGTTCTACTCTGTCCTATAGGGTGTCGCTATGAGTTGGAACCAACTCGACAGTATATAACAACAAGAAGACGGACCTAGAATTCCTTAAAACCTCAGTCTTCATCATGTGTCCCTTGTAACCCACCAATAAATCCTGCCCAATCTTTTCTCTCCTCAACATTCTGTCTCTATAAAGATCTTTTCCACCCCCGCCAATCTTTGTTTCTCTAGTACAGTGCTTAGCACAGAGCAGGAGCTCAAAAATGCTTGCTGAATGAGTGAATGTTGCCATCTTCACCAATTACCCCTAGAAACAAGAGCAGAGACGGACAGTGTATGCATGTGAATGTGTATCAAGGTGGCAGGACTTCAGAGTTAAGTTTTTAATGTTTTCACAAAGATTTTCATAGTAAGCAAATGAGAGGACTTGAATCCAGTACTTCTGACTTCAAATTTCATGCCATTTCCACTATATTATTATCCCTTTGTCCTTTCTCTTTACCTGGAGTTCCATTTCTTCATCCTTTTTCACACCAAGTACCAGGTTGTAAATATTAGATACAGCTCCAAAATGTAACCCCTCTCCACGCGGGGGAGGGGGACATGCAGTAAAGCATCTGGATTAAGAAGAGGAGCCTGTGGCCTTGGCATCATCAAAGTTACAGCCAGGAGGCAGGATGAGCTGGGGGTTAGGGATGTGACAGAAACTTTCTAAACCTGGGGTAGAATCAGTAACCTTGCCTAAGTGGAGAACAGTATGCTGGGCTGGAGCAACTTCTCCTGTCAAACAAAGAATCCATATATATAGTCAGAATCATACTTTATTTAACGATCTGAAAGATTTTTTTTTTTTTTTGCTTTAAGTCTTGCAAAACAAGTGGTAAATCAAAGACAGATTTGTTCACCATCCTGAGTATATGTGGTTATGTGTCTCTGTGTGGACAAGTGTATCTATAGGTGCTTCTGCTTTTTACAATCATCTTAGCCTCATTTTAATTAATATGTATATATAAAGTCTTACTATTCAAACAGTTCTAAAACCTGAATTAAATATCCCTGAGTCTAACATTCTCTTCTCCCAAGCCTCCCTC